AAATTTGTCTACCTGTGCTTTTAGTGATGCTTTCAGAAGGAAATCCAGTATTAGTAAGACTTGATCAAAAGCCTTACAGTGCCTGATGCTCTATTTAACAATCCTGGAGAACTGAATGCTGGAGAATCTCTAGTGAATGATTAGTTGTTTGAAAAGGAGGGAGGGAGTGTGGCTGAGGTCTTACTGATGGGGAGAAAACTGGATAATGTGGTTTTGATGCTAAAGAAATTGAAAAATTCCTCACCATTGAGAAAGTGGAGTCAAAGTACAGAAAAGAGAATTTCTCAAAATGTTCTAGTTTTTTAATTGAAAGTATTTAGGAATGTGATTTTTGTTAATTTTCAGATAGATTAGTCCACAGCTTGAAAAGTATCCTAGCACCATCCTAAGCATGGATTCTGAGCTGTCCTTTCTTCATCCAGGAATCAAAAAATACCCAAACCAAACCACAAAACCACCACACAAACAAACAGAAAAACCGAAACCAAACTAAGCAACCAACTAAAATAACATCAACAAAACGACAGAACAAAACCTTGTTGTGGGCAGAGAGGAACATGGAACCCCATGGTTTGGTCTGGGTTTGGTCCCTTTTTGGCCAGTTCTTTTGTGTCTGAGGCACAAAAAAAAGAGGTTTCTGGTTTATGGCCTGAAAGCACTAGAAGAACAGTTGAGGAAAAAAATGAAAAAGAATGTGAACATTTTCCAAAGTTTTCAGAGTTGCCCATGACCAGGCAGCATTAAGGCACTTGTGTACATGCTGTTTATGGCCTTCCATATCCACTGCCTTATTGACCCCAAACTGAGAGAAAGACAAATTGCTTACCTGATGAGAAAATCATCTGAGCGTTCTGAAAAACCTGGATGGTGAAACTATTTACTTCACTGGGAATTTTTGGTGGATTTTAATGCAATTACAGTTTTACCCTGAACCCCACCGTGTCTGTGTAAGGCATTTGCAGGCAGGACTTGGGTGAGCTGTAGGGAGAGCACTGGGGACTGGGAGGTGAGGAACCCCAGCAGCCACAGGGCAAGCAAGAAGGACAAGCCTTCCCTCCTGTGGAACTGGCTGTTGTAGGAGTTGTGGGAGTTGTGTGTCTTCCTCTGGCATACACAGTACGTGCCATTTTCCAGGAGAAGATACTGGTGCCAGTCTGGCAAATCATGAATGGCTGAATATAACTTACATCACAAGTATGTTCTTTGGCTTGTGGGGAAAGCAGCTCAAATGTGGCCCAGCTTGTTCCCATGTCCATTCAGGAGAATCTGCTCCTCAGAGCCCCTGGATGCACCTGACCCTGCCAGGTCTAGCAAAGATGAGGGAGCTGTAGCTCAATAAAAAATTAGTATGGCTATTAACAACTTCCTGCAGGTGTAGAAATTGTAAATGTCTGCTTTCCTCTCTGTTAGAATTCCTCTCTAAATCTGTTAGAATTCTCATAGACAAAACAGCAATTTGGAGCCAAATTACACATAACAGGGATCAACCCTCTCTTGATCCTCTTCCCTATTCTCCAGAGAACTTCCTTAACCTGAAAATTGTGAGGGTTAAGTATGAAATTATATTCAACAAGGGCTCAAGTGCATTCAGCACAAATTGAGAAGAAACACAAACTGCTTGTGGTCTCCTTCAGCAGGTCTGTGCAGGGCTATTCCCACCCTTCTGTGTGTGAGGGGTTTTATCTCTGGTCTGAATAGCCCAGCCCTTGAAAGGCTGAGGAGAGACAAGAGCAGAGGGAGAGATGATGCAAGCCTTGTTCTCCTGGGTCCAGAACTCCAGTGTGAAAGGCCCAGGGGAATTATCCATCCCCCATTAGCCTTCAGGGAGGGAGGTCTCCAAGGGAGGTCTCTGGGCTGCTGACTGCACCTTTCAGCTCCTGAGTACTCTGCTCCCAGGAACACACATCATTAATCCGAGGAGTTAAAAGTGAAATTCGACAGTCAGAGCCACAAAGACTATGCAGGAGAGAAATACAGGAAGAGGTGGGAGAGAATCAGATGGTGATATTGCTCCAGTTGGTACAAAATGGCACATCTGTGGTGGGGAAGAGGTGGCCTTGCCATTGTTTGAAGAAATGGCTGCCATCTGTGGCTGCCAATGGAGAATTGTCTGCCCTGCTCTGAAATGGGTTCTTTGCCCACCCTCGTATCCTGCAGCAGAGTTTCCTGTCTGATCTAACCAATAAAGCAGCTGTTTTTGGCCAGAGCTGGATGACTTGGTGTACTTTCATGTTTAGGTATTCCAAAAGACAGGCTTTAGTAACTTTTTGCTTATTTCATTGGAGTTTATATTTGTTTAGTGTTTGTTAGTGCAGTGGCACTGCTGACAGTAGGAATAAAAATGTCCCATAATTAGTAGCTCAGTGTTAAAACGTGGAACTAACCTGTGGGCCTGCTCAGGAGAGCGTCCTTTGGAGCAAGAGTTCCCAAATCCTCTGGCAGGACATTGTACTAAAGGTTTCTGAAGTCTGAGAAGGCACCTTGTGCTGCTGAGGCCGGGGCTGGTGGGCACACCCAGGGACAGAAGCAGGTCCAGGCTATGGGCTCAGTCCCTCCTTGCCTATTTGTTGTCCAGCCAGTA